CCTCGTGTCCGAATTACGCTGTCGGCGATTTATCCCAACACTGTACTCATTTCATTTGTTGTGGTCTCAAAATGCAGCGTTAGTCCGTGACGGCTAACGGCGGCAAAAAGTGTTGTTGGCCACCGGTCCGTTGTCACGGGCTATAAGTATCACTTTTGAGCTGGCCCGCAGGCCCGTGCAATGCAGGCAAGCTGATTTAAAAGTGGCACTGACCTGAAATTGTACTGGAATGAATGGCGTCAGGAAAAATGGACGGTTCAGATTGCCACAGCGGCCGGCGAAGGCCATTTACTGAGAAGCGCATTAATTAGAGTTTGAATCGATGCGTCACTGCATGCGAAGTGACACGTCTGTTTCCCTCAACTCAAGGTGTGCTTCGAAACGAGTCACTGTGCTGAACGCCATAGGTGGGGAGATAATCAGGGATTAGCATGGTATTTCGCTGAATTTGCGTGATAACGGCCTCATAGAACTATGGGAACTGAAAGACACAACGTTGTACATTTTCAGCAGCTGAAGTGTTTTAAGCTTGCCTGGCATTTGTTGCGCATGGATATTTGGCCAATTGGTGTTTTTTTTTCTCAAATCTTACAGAATATACACAAAGTAAAACGCCAGTCAGATGAAAAGTATTACTGTCGTAATGATGACCAGTGAGTCCAATGAGATTTCTGTCTCCGGAGCGACTTCAAATCAAAATTCTGAGCTTTTCAGAAGGATTTCGAAAAAGCTGGTGCTACCTATCAAATCGGACGCGTCTAATTTAGCAACAAGTGGAACGTACAAAAGGGTGGCAAGCTCCCTTTAGGTCTCAAGCTGAAGCAAATGGTAACTTGCCTAACTGGTGACCTATTTCGTAACGACCCAGTCCTGTGACTGGCATTCTCTGCGCGCCAGTGAGACTAGAGGGTACAGGAGCGTCCATGACCTGGTCGAGACAGTGCTGCGGCCGAGCGGCACAAGCAGCGTGTGGAAGCCCCCACGTTACTCGACGATGGACGTCCCCTAAAATGTGTCATTTGTAAAAATGCCGGGCTCGTACGCGTGCCGTCGGGAACAGTACCGCATCGGAAGCCTACGAGCAGCTGCATGTAAAGGACTTAGAGACTGGCACCGATAGTCTTAGCGCGGCTTCCCGGGCCGATGGGGCCCTCGCCGATAGCCTCTGCGCGGCTTCCCGGGGCGATGAGGCGTCTCACGGTTTGTGTACTGTAGCCGCTCTACGTAGCAGTTGCCATGGTGATAAGTCTGTCCCTCGGAAACAAGGATTACGAGATATCGACGCTGCGCTGTTTAAGACGCGTGTGCCGCGCGCTCTATGTTGGTGACAGCTTTCAGAGTCTTTGAACATGACGTCGTGGCACGGATTGTCATTATCATCCAGCTGACTCGTTGCAAGTGAGCAGGCCGGGACCGCTACCCAGCACATCGCACAGGGTCAACAGTGAGACGGCGAATTCCTATGGGTGCAGCCGTTCGTCATCAACCTGTGGACAGAAGAGAATAGCACAACACACAGCGTGTGGTTAGGCCGCGGCCCACAGACGGGCAGCAGCAGCTGATCGGCAACAGCAGCGCCACCTGTGTCACAGAGACCGCGCCATCTTTGGCACCGACGACAGCGTCATCTATTCGCCCTTGGAGGAAAAGCGGCTGCGACAAGCGCACGGGCTCATTGCCGCCGGGGATAGTGGAAGTGCAAGGTTGAGGGGACAGCCCGCTCCCCGACTCTGGAAAACAAAAGCATTAGCCCCGTGACGCTGCATGGGGAGAAACGGGGCCAAAGTCGCTTTTGCGCCCATCCCCCCCTCCCTGTAGGTGACGTGCCTGGGCTTGAGGCGTGTCAATATCTGCGGTGGACGAGCGAAAGAACGTACTCGCATCAGGATTTTGTATACCTAGGCTGAGTTTCATAAGCAGCTACAGCTGTCGGCATTCGCTAAGCACGATCAGTGAATCAATTGAAATCAGTCTCGTCTATCTCTCACTTCTCAGAAATACGCCAACTTAGATATTTGAAAACTTCCTTTTTGGAGCTAATAATATGCGACATTCGTACTGACCTGGTCTCCATGGACATTATCAGAGGCATTCCATCATCCACTGCACCGTCTCATCAGGCGGTAGCAGAGGAGCCTCTTGCCAGGGGGGGGGGGGGGGGCCGGTTTTTGAGTCACCTCGTTCCATGTAACGTCACAGCTCAATTTTCCAAAATTGACCCCTCCCCATCCCCGTCCGAACGATATACCACCGTTGGGGCGGTTTTGAGGTCAATGGTGTTTGTTACGCACAAACGGGATTCCCTCGGGGGGTCACCGTCTGCCTGCGGACGGATGTGACGGATGTCTGCGGCGACGTCGGACGTGACAGACGTCAGTGCTGACGTCGGATGGTGACGTGAGAGTGATGAGGGGAACCCCAGTTGGGAGCCGCCATCGGTCAGGTCAAACCTGGGCCCTAACCCGTCCTTACGATCGTTTAAGGTTCAAAGTCAAGCAGACAAATGCATATTTCAGACAAAACAAACTCGCAACCGGATCCAGAAACTGAAAAGCTCACATTCGGGAACAGAGTCAATATTCATGCTTTGTATTTCAACCATCTTTCAGTCATGATGGAATTGTACAGGCTGATGGCAAACACTTGCAGGGAAATGTAGTTTGATGTGAAGCGCATGGGTAGGTATTGTCCTGTATTGGGTGGTGATGGCTGGGTGGGTTTGTGTAGAGCGGGCCGCATGGTTTTGACTGTATGTGGTTGGTAAAGTTAGTTTAACGTAGCTTGCTTGTGCTTAGCGTTGACCCATGAAAACTTCGCTACGGTTGCCAGCACATCCTACAGCATCATCATGCTAAGAATGCTTGTTCGGCAAGGTACGTTGAAAACCTGAATTCTAAGATAAGAAAGAGATTAAGATACGAGGCCAAGAAAAAGTCGAATGTGATTTTGCTTACTTATCCTATTTTTATTATGAATATATGTGGCCATGACAATCTGTCATCTTGCTATCTTTGTGGCATTTTGTCTGCATCAGATGGAACTTTGACTCAGGCTCGAGAATTGTGCACGGTTGTGGGTTGTGAGCTTGTTGACTCGCATTCCATTTTCAGCTATCTCAACTCTGACTCTGACAAACGAACCATACAACTTATCGCGATCACACTCATGACGTGCCGGAGGTGGATTCGAGTCTCAGACCCGGACTCTCTTTACCAGAACAGGGACTCCCACTCCAACTCAGTGTGTGTTTTACCAAACTCCGTGCTCAGCCGGGGTCGGGAGCCCGCAGACAGCTGGCACAGCAGTCTCTGGCGGTCTGTCGGCGTGTCACCCGAGGATCGGCGGCACGGTCGGCGTCGGGCTCATCTGTCGGCCGCGATTACTGGGGCGGCACACATGAAAAAGTCGTGAGCTGGGCAACCTATACGCTGATGGTGCAGTCGTCTCCGCCATGCAGCTATGTGTTCGTTGGCTTCTGCTCCTCTTGCCGATATCTGAAGCTTGAACTTAAAATCGCCAAGATTGTGGAATCTCTGCATCACGCTGCATACGCATTAACTTTTGTACCCAAGCATGCGAATTAGCGCAGATACAGTTGTCGTTCTTCAGGAGTCAACTCCATTAATCTAATGTCGATGCATCCCCGGATGCCCGGACGTTGCCCAGTCTCGTTGCGTGTTATGTAGAATTTTCACGATAGGCAACTGTGGCATTTTCTATGCCTATGAACTAGCTGACGTCAAATTTTGATCAAAATGTGGTGTCCCAAAAAATCGAGCTTGAAAAAAGCAACTTTGAATCGAACACCTAGCACCAAACATAACTTCAAACACCTATGCTCCTTCCTAGTTAAAGCTGCATGGGGGTGATATTCATGGATGTTAATGTAAACAAATTAGCTCGTAAAGCACGTTCGCTTGGTGCTTATGCAAGGTTGACTCTGCACTCACTCAGACGAGTCCCTTGGTTGGTCAATAAGATGCCGGGCTCGCCGCGAAGTAAGAATATTCGATCAAGAGAGGACAGATGGTCCGATATTACAAAGATAGGAAGTGAGTCCACACGGGTATTTTAAATGCATAATTTGCCATTTATAGGCCGTTACAAAGTCAATCTAGAATATGAATGGTTGCAAAGTTGAGGCAAATGTGTTTGATCTTGTCTCATTGGAGGCTTAAGACTAAAAAACGGTTGTTTAAACTTTATGCCGCCTAACCGCCAAGTTGCACGATATTTGCCAACACATGCGACACGGTTAGTGCATCTCCTATCATCCGCAGATTATTCGCACTCGTTTGCCGTTTTTCCATATCATTTAGCGGCCCAGGAAGGACAAACCCGACCAAAAGCCTTCCCATTTTATTTTTCATAGACGGAACCAAAGATTCCTAAAAGTAGTTCTTAAGTCCAAAAAACATATATGTCCGTGTTTGCCTGTCTTACTCTTTTGAAAAAAGAGTTCATCGCCCAGTTTTTGCATCATAACGTTATATTTTGAGCTATAACTTGAAATACCGCCGCCGTCTCGCTCACCACTTTGTGACGCTTGAATCGCCTAGGGACAAGTCAAAGATAGCAGGATGCCGAGATGTTGCAACGTTAAAATTAACGGATGACTGAAATCAACAACTCACGTACACCAAGGGAAAAACAAAGATCTTTCCATTCATTGGGCTAAAAGACAAGGTACAAGAAACAGGGCAGTATGTAAACATATACAAAGTAGAAAATAACGTCAGATCCTTCCCATGTCAAGGCCGGGCGTTTTGGATTTCGTTCTGGCGCGATAAGTGATCTTGGAAATGATGCAGTCAGCTGTTTTCTTTTAAGTACCTATCTAAATGCCATATATGTGGTGATGCACCATACAAAACGCTTATCTTCTCATAAATACATGCGGCACAATTTGGGACAAAAGCTCCATTCCACTTTAATCCTCGTGCACCTTCACATTTTCACTTAAAATGCAACTGATACGCCGCAAGATTTGCAACATTTGTTTGTAAGTTTCTGTCGGGAGTATTTCTAAGAATTCTGTAGGCAAATTTGACATGAAGAAAAAATGTAAGCGTATTTAAATGACTACCAGTCTAAATAACACTTAACTCAGCGTTGGCAGCAACTGAAGTGGACTCATTTAAGTATGGGCTGCCTCATTTCTTCGATAAGTTTTTTCCTTTTAGTATTTGCTCTCCATGGAATATGTGACGGATATTACATGAAACCATACTCAGGTGGTGGATCAGGGTAAGTACCCGCCCAATGGCAATGGCAGAATGGAGCGCAGCCTTGAACATAGCACCTTTAGAAATGCAAACATTTTAAAATTATCTTACTACACTGTCCACGGTCGCGATTACCGTAAGGTCTTGAAGATTGCAAAGCCTTAACTGTAAGCGGGCACTTGAAAAATATTGTGTTTTTAAAAGCACTATACAGGGACCAATAGCGTCTCACTCGCCACCTATGCTAAAGCTCTGTCAACGTTACGGTTGACAAGGTGATAAAGTTACCAAACATGACGGGACTGTTTGACTGCAAACTGTGGTCGTTCCATCGAACCACAACACTGTGCGTGTTTGCGAGTGTTCGTCTTACTCACGTCACGATGTTCTGTCAGCGGTGCGAAGATTCCCCAACCGCCGAAGCCACCCATCAAGAAACCGAAGCCGCCTGTCAGGGCAACAAAGCCTCCAACAACTAAGCACGCCCACCAAGTGGTACGCCCGCCCCCCACGCCCAAGCCTACGGTACCCCCAGACGTGTCGAAAGGCGGCAGCAAGGGCACGCTGAATCGCGGCGTGGGCTGGGGCATCGAGTTCAACATCTTCCTATGGGTCGAAGTGGCTGTGGTTACCGAACATTACGCGCCGGTGTACGTACCGACGACGACGCTGGCATCTGTTGCTGAAGTCGTGTACTACACCGACCCACCCGCGGCCAAATCCGGATGGGGTGACTTGATCTTCGGTAAGTCCAGCGGTGTCACGTACTCTGCATTGTGTGTTTGATGCACCAGCACCAGATCAGGTGTTCATGGTATTGGTATGGCATTTATTTGAATTGTCGATGGGATTGTATATACATGAGCTTTTTACAGGTGGCCATGTGGCGTATTATACCTGGGGACGGCACTGAAGCTCCTCTGTGGCTGTTGCTAGTTCGTGTTTTAACTGAATCGTTCATTCATAGGACCTTGGGGATTTGACAGTGCTTTCGCTTTCACTGCTCTAACACTTGGATGAAGTGCATTTGTCATGTCAGGTGGATCTGGTTGGCTCTAAAAAAAAGATATTTACTCATCCCGTCACAAAGCTGGGAAGATTAGTGTTGTCGCACTGCGATTCCACGCATTGCAAAGGACGTCACGTCTTATTGTGGAGTATGAGCTGACGATAATGCGGTATTCTTGTAAGAGGCAGTCATTCCCCTTGGCGTGATGTCCTCTGTTCTTGCTCAGATCTTTGTTCTCAGCTTCGTTCTCAAGCGAGGGCCGCTTCACTTAGCTCAGCACCTCCAGAGACATTTTACTACCGGTGACTCCCGGCAGGCTCAATGTATCACCGCTAGATACGACGGGGCTTGTTAATACCATTGTAGCTATGATTGCTAGTCACTCTCTCTCAGGGTGCAGTTGCCTGTTCTTGATTAGGCTTTTTGTTTAGCTTCGTGCTCATGTGAAAGCCACTTTGTTTAACCCAGCCCTGTCAGGGGCGTTTACTGCTCGTGACCGCCTAAGAAGGCTAAAAGTGAGCCCCCGGCTTCCAGTGGCTGCTGGAATACTATTGTGTCTAGTGACTACTGGGATACTATTGTGTCCAGTGGCTACTATTGCGTCTAAAATTTGGGGCGCCCGAAACTCGCCCGAAGTTCATTAGCCAATTCTGCCAACATTTGCGAGTCTGATTTTCACCTTGCCGATTACATTAACCAGGGCCACGGAGAGCCCAAGTCTCTCATGGGCTGGATAAGGCAATGAGGTATGTCTGTGATCTCCCGTCCAACCGCGTGCTAGGTAGGCCCAGCAAAGCTTGGGGTGCCGATCTGCTTGGTCTTTGCGGCGACACTCTACCTGGAGCTGAGACATACCTCCGCGTGCGCCTGTTGGACTCCTCTTTTACTTTTGTCAGCACCTCCATGCTTAGACTATGAGGCTCGCCTCTTCCTGATCACTGAGGTGCCCTCCATCTACGGCATCGCTGCTTGGGCTCGGAAAGCGCCTGTACTTGGGTCTGGCGGTTCCCTGCTGGCTTTGGCCTCTCGCATACGAGGACATTGGGACGCTCCTCTACCCAGGATAGAAGGGCCGCTCTGCGAGGACTGTCAGAGATTCCTCCACCTAAGAAACAAATGCCACTCCATCTGGGCTCGAAGGTACCCCATCACCAGAGTGGTGACTCTTTGATGACTCTCTGAGTGATGAAGAGTCAAAGACAAAGTAAGAATCTTTGTCTATGCGTCAGGCGCTCTCTGCCTTGGCTTAGGGCTCTACCCAGGATTGGGGGGCCCTTTTCCCGGCCTCGAAGTGGAGCCGCCATAGCCTGATCTAAGAGCTGCCCTCTTATTCGGACTTAGGGGCGTCGCTCTGCTGTGGCTCCAGGAAGTCATCCTTAAGCGTTATGTAACAGGAGTACCTTGCATGAATAAAAAGCTGCTAAAATGCTTCAGTGTCTACGAGGCACCAGGCCCCAAGACCCCCGCTGCTGGTGATGCCACTGGTCATAACTTAGTGACCTGACATGGCATTGAAAGTTAGCGTCTGATAGACTATCATCGGAGGTAAAGAACGGATGTACTGTCACTGGCATGGCTCGTAAGTTGCTTTCAAGAGCGTCTTTTTTCGCGCCGCGGCTGGTCGCGAGTGAATCGTATATCTGAGGTGCTGCTGCTTTATCTCCAGTTACCCTCTATCTCAGGAATAAGCTTGTGAAACACTTAAGGACCAGGTAAAACTTCCTGGTTAGGAAAAATGCTACCGTTTTGTTCACTCGTAGCATTTAAAAGTGCGAATTATGATGCATAGCCAACCTCTCCATCTCTTGTTAGTGATGCAAGTGCCACGTAGCTAACCAGCTGACTCTCATGCCGCCCTTAACAGGCGCTGATAAAGAAAACAAATTTAGTCTTAGTTCAATGCTTGCCCACAGTAACCAAAAGGTAACATATCAGTACATCACCGCTCACCACGCTGTCGTCGTGTATATGGACGCGAAGTCGGACCATTTGTTTTAACCATTATCGAGCATCCTTTCAAACCTTGCCACATGACATCCGGTCGTCACTTTCATTAATGCTAATTACGAATAATATCAGTCCTTTCAAACCTGCCACATGACATCTCGGTCTCTTCTCTTAGTTAATGTCTATAAGCTCTAATATCTTAGCCCCTCTTCTCCCTCTCTCTCTCTCTCTCTCTCTCTCTCTCTCTTCTCTCTCTATCTCTTCTCTCATCTTCTCTCTATCTCTCTCTCTCTCTCTCTCTCTCTCTCTCTCTCTCTCTCTCTCTCTGTCTGTCTTTCCCTTTACCTCTCCCCTCTGTCTCTCCCCCTCTCTCTCCTCTTTCTCTCTCGCTATCGCTCTTTCCTCAGACCTGGTCGGGTCCACACGCGACACACATCCTCACCGCATGTGCTTTTCAGCTTTCTACGACTCCTCCGCATCATCCGGTAAGAAATGGTCCAGCGGCAGCTATGCCATGCGATCAGTGGGTGGTGGCACTGACGACACGGACAACTCCATCATCGCTTTCATCGTCATCGGAGTGGTTATCACAGGTAAGCGGATGATCGAGGAGGTGCCATTATACCGTACCTGGCCGGGATGGGGGGGGGGGGGCGCTGGATAATGGCATATATATATATATATATATATATATATATATATATATATATATATATATATATATGTGTGTGTGTGGGTATGCGCCCAATGAGAAAACCAAAGATGCCATTTTCAGGATGTCGTCAAATCATAAAGAATGCACACACAAATTTTGACCTTCTCCCCCGTCATTCTAATTCTCCCATTTTACAAGCCATGCGGAGATCGGGGCTGACGTTCATGAGCGCGATCTCCAGATGTAGCGGCCGTCATTTTGCTCTTCATCAATTTTGTATAAGGTATAATGACTCAATCAAACGATGACGAATCGGAGAGCATATTTACCATGCAGACCAATTGTGTTCTCTGGAGCACTCTTTTCTACTTAAAAGTAAACCAATAGCTATACGTGAGCTTGTTACATCATGCTTGATGACGGCTTCAAATCTTCAAATGTGAAGCATTCCCTTTAACGCGCATACAAGAGAACGCCCGCTTTCTGCGTTGGACAATTTCTGAACGCTCTCCCAAAAAGAGATAAAAAGAATTCCTGTTGCTTCCAATGGCCTTTGATTTGATCCTAAACAAAGAGCAATTCACATAGCCCATTCAAATGCTGTATCAGTGTAGTTGAAACCTGCCTATGATGTTGTTAGGTAGTCTCGTTCATGTGCGACCTCGCCGATCTTTTTATTCTGGGTGCAGCAGACCTTTAAAGACCAAGCCAGAACCTCTTGATCAGCCGAACTTCTGGTACCAGCGCCCACGCTAAGCAGTGCTTGTTGAAGGAGCCCTGACCGTATCTTTGTGATCAACTATCAGTCGTTATAGGAAAATTCCAGGTCAAACACAGAAATTGGTGGAGAAAGCTTGCGCCGTAATCACAGCCTGTCCTGTCCCTGAACTCACTTGACCTTCAGCGCGACCGGTGCCATAGGCGGCTATTCCAATCAGGTGCCAGCGCCTGAAGTGATTCGAATCAATCTCGCATTATGAATTGTAATGCATGCACTCTAACAAATTAAGTTATCAGAATAGATGGACAGGATTTTTTCTGCTGAACCGATTTGTAACAAACTAGTGTCATATTTTATAAGTTTCTCCGATGCAAACGGCAAATACTTGTGCTACTACTTCTACGTCATGGCAACTTGTGCAGGATGCACCTGTGCGTCTTTTTCTTCTCTTAATTTCACCCTCTTGAGCAAAACTTACTAAGCTGTTGACAAAGCCCTGTTGTCAGCTGTGTGATCCCAACTCTCACAGCCAGCGATATTTTCGAGCTCAGTTAGCCCATCGAACCCACCAAGCTCAATCAGATTCGATTCAAAAATAGAATAAGATAAAATCCAATTTTTTGATAGATGGGTTTGTGGGATAACAGCTCATGGTAAGCAGTGCTTGTTTTGTAAGTTCTCCTGCTATTCGATCGTAAAATTCCAGGTCAAAGACAGAATTTCGTGGCGAAAGTTTAACGTGTCGCCATGCTCGACACGATACACCCTGCCCTTCGACGTCACCTGACCCTTAGCGCGATCGCTGCTACCGGTTGCAGACCATACCTGTCAAGGGGCAAATAGCAAGCATCTAAAGGCGATTCGAACCCAAACCGCCAGGGTGGGTGGCTCGGAAGACTGGCGCTCTAACCAACCGAACAATCGGAACGGACAAAGTGAGGCGTGTGGTGATTTTAAGTACGAATCACCCAACACGCGCACTGGGTCTTACCGTTATGTCGCAGCGTCCACCTTAAGTGACGTGTCGGTTTTGGAAAAATACGGTAGACTTTAAATTAGCAATGTTAGGCATTACGGACCCAGAGCTGAAACAGGACAATGTCCCCGATGTGAGCGTGCCCGGAACGCATGGTTCCTCATGACGCCGTGACCTTTTGCAGTCGCCATTGGTGGCGCGCTGTACTGGCGGCACAAGAAGCAGCAGGCCCTCGGCGCAGAGGAGGCGGACGAGGAAGCTAAGGAGGAGCCAGCGGCGGCGGAGGAGGGGGAGGGGGAGGAGGAGAAGCCAGCACCGGCCGAGGAGGCATGAGGGTAGCCGACACCAGACCGATGGCTCGCGCGCGCGCTGGCCTTCAGCTGGCTGCGTGGGCGCCTGCGAGACGGCTGGCTGGTCTCTGCCTCAGCCACCCTGCTACTGTGTGCTGACCTGAACGAAAACCGCGCGATTTGTTTCGGTGACTGGCAAGGCTGGTTAGAATTGCATTCAACGATTTTAGACAAGGCAGCAGTACGTTAAGTCGTCATGAAGGGCCTCTGGTGTCGGTATGTTGTATTTGCCTTAAAATGAGCCTCCACCAATGCATGAACCCAAAATCATTCTGGCAATATGCGCACGTAAACTGAAATTATAATATACATCGTTCAGCAAGAAAATGCGTAGCAATTCACATAAGGACAGCGGTTTCCATTACACAGAGCACGAAATGTATGTGATGAGAACCTTCATTGTTTCTTGTACATAAACACCAGCACTTTGCCTGACACTTCTCAAAATCGTTCAACGAAGGATATTACTATCGTTGATGTCAAACGCTCGGGTGGCGGTCAATTTGACCACACTGCCACAAGGGTATTTCCAGAATCGCTTCTGATTGGCGCGGCATAGCCGCATCAAGTGATGTATATCTGGAGGTCATTAAACAGCTAGTCTGTCGGTATATGATTATATTCACCTTGCAAGGCCGCCAACTTATGGCAGGTCAGTCAGGCCATATCTGTCAGCGAAGGGCATTTGAAGGGAATCGCTTAATCTGATGCGATACTGGAATGTTAAGCGAAGCCTTGCATCTTAGTGTTAGTAGTTTCTTAGTCAGCTAGACAAAAGAGTTTGAGATTATCACGATAATCATTGACTTTGGTTCAGATATAAAAATCAGACCTAGGTCAACACCAAGCAGCTTTCTTACTCGCCAATGCGATTTACAGGACAGTTTATCAACTGTCCTGTAAATAAGCGTAATACATGACGCGCATTTCAAATTTCTTAATGAATGGGATGTAACCTGACATTTCGTTTGGGCGGAATGAAAGTCAGAAAATGTCATTGTTTTAAAATGACCCCGATCTATATCTTGTTGTTAGAACCACACCAACCAGCGCAATTTGGCGCTGATTTGAGCAAAGAAGTGTAAGCAATCTCGTAAAATTTTGGTGACCGTGATCTTCTAGAGGTCAAATAAGGGAATGGCCCGAAAAGCCATCAGTGAGGTTTTTACAATAGGTACCTACTTAACTTGGTTACGTGAGGTCTGAGGGCATTTTGGACATCGTTAAGAAGTTTGACATTGTTTGTCCCTACTTTACCGAAATTTCATAATTCAGGGATCTCAAATGTTGGCACAGGTGAGATCACATGCAAGGCTACCTGTCCTGTCAATTTTTTGTATTCAGAGTTCTTACTTTTAAACTCTCAGGTGCGTCAAATTGACCATCCACCCGAGTGTGGTGTATTTAACTGGCCACGAGGGTGTGTGCTAATAGCTGTAGAACTGAGCATGCAAATATTTTAAAGTATATTTTATGATCACTTCGTGTTGTCTCAGTGTATGGACCGATTGATTTTCACATCACGGAATTTTAATGATGAACCGACAGGCCAGCTAGGTAGGGGAGATCGCATTTGGCTATTACACGAATGCGTTGCTGCAGTGCCATTCGCACAACAGTGACATTTATTTATGAAAGCGCTGTGGCCATGCTTCCAAAGCTGTTTTTATTTTTTTAAACATTTTAACAGCAGCAATTTTATGGTATAAATTAGTTTATTGCAGACTTGTGCTCTGCTCAGTTTTTTTCGCCAGCTCAGTACTGACTCACAGATTTTTTGATCCGATTCAGCTCACGACTCATTCTTGTTCAATTTTTTTTGTTCAGCTCAGCTTTAGACTCTGCTTGCATTACATGATTTGACTCATGGCTTATACGGCTTGCAAGATCACATATCCTTTTGAGTTCTCACGTATCGTGAGCCATATGGCTCATGCATATACATATATATATATATATATATATATATATATATATATATCTCTCTCTCTCTCTCTCTCCTCTCTCTCTCTCTCTCTCTCTCTCTCCCTCCCTCTCTCTCTCTTTCTCCCTCTCTCTCTCTCTCTCTCTCTCTCTCTCTCTCTCCTCTCTCTATCCCTCTCTCTCCTCTCTCTCCTCTCTCTCTCTCTCTCTCTCTCTCTCTCTCCTCTCTCTCTCTCTCTTATCTCTCTCTCTCTCTCTCTCTCTCTCCTCTCTCTCTCTCTCTCTCTCTCTATCTCTCTCTCTCTCTCTCGCTATCTCTCTCTCTCTCCTCTCTCTCTCTCTCTATCTCTCTCTCTCGCTCTCTCTCTCTCTTCTTATCTCTATCTCTCTCTCTCTCTCGCTCTTCTCTCTCTCTCTCTCTCTTCTCCCTCTCTCTCTCTCTCTCTCTCTCTCTCTCTCTCTCTCTCTCTCTCTCTCTCTCTCTCTCTCTCTCTCTCTCTCTCTCTCTATATCTCTCTCTCTCTCTCTCTCTCCTCTCTCTCTCGCTCTCTCTCTCTCTCTCTTATCTTCTTCCTCTCTCTTCTCTCTCTTCTCTCTCTCTCTCTCTCTCTCTCTCTCTGTGCGTGTGCGTGTGCGTGTGCGCGCGCGTGTGTGTGTGCATGTGTGTGTGTGTGTCATGGTATGGAAAAAAGATACAAAAGCCTAGTGGCGAATAATTAGCAAATTCAGTGCAGCAAACAATACCTTTCCCGCAACCTGCTACCAACCAGCTCTCCCAGGTCTCATCTCTGGGATAACGGATTCTACCTGGCACCTACAACATAGACCTATCACTTAAACAGCATGCAGTGTGGACTAGACAGCAGTAAACCTGAGCAGTCTGCGCCTGCCAAGAGCCAGCTAAGTGTTTTCACACGTAGGTAACACCATTTTCACCAGCCAGTATTAGTCATACCGTTGGCAGTGGCATGTCAACAATGCAACATCGGGTTGCAGCTTTTGCAAACGCAGTTAGCTCTTTAGATTAGCTAGCATGAGCTACAAATATATTACTAACGTACCTTACTTAAGCAATGCGTATTACTAATTACGATTGCATTTCTAGCAAACAAGCACACCAAAAATCCACTTCTTTCGGCCCTGTCTTCCCGTTAGCAAGGGACTGAACTGAACTGAAAACAACTAAACTGAGCTGAACTGAACTGAACTGAACCGAGCAGAGCTGAACAGCTGTTAAAGAGTTAGGCTAACGCAGACGCCGACTGCCGTTTCCTCTAGGATGCAGTAAACTCATCTCATCAGGTCACTCATTACTGAGTAGGGAGTCAAAATTATTTGCGTACTGCGTAGACGTTAGAGCGTTGTGCGCCTCTTGACTCGCATTCTAAGACAATACATTTAGAGAACAGATTTTCACTTGTATGTTGCATGTTGCGTGGAAATAGTAACTGATGCCAGCCCCGGGACGTGACATTCCGCGACATGCAATTTGCATTATGAGACGAGACGATCTTGTCACCATTGCTGTTTATTTCACGTAGCGTCAGCAATAGTATTCTTTCAGCAATTCAGGTGGTAGTGAATGAGAGATCAGGTATGGATTAGTTCAGTTGTGATAATTAACAGTGAAAAGTATGACCAGCACTGGGATTTTATAGGAAGTAAAAATTTTTCACTACTTTTAGCATAGGATGTAGGAACATAATATGTATATACCATGCAATATACTCTGATTCCTGGCCGCGATTAGGAAAACTTTAGTTCAGGATTAAAAATGTCACGTTTGTTGCTTAGAAATCACAGTAACAAACCGCGTGACGATTTTGCAAAAACAGCTTTATAACTATTTACGCATGGTGCTCATTTTAACATTCTAAAATGGTCCCTTATTTTGTCTCCCGCGTGCTGCGTTTTCCCATGTTACCATTTTCATCTGAGTGATGACTATGACTCACTGACACTGACATTGTTAGAAATGATCGGCTCACGATTCAGCGTATGCAGTTAACGAAGAATGTGATTCAGCTCGTGACTCAACGCTGCATTTTTCCTGGTGAGCCGACTCAGCTTACGACTCACCCCAAAACGGTTGACTCATCAGCCGATTCATGGTTCAGCTCGAGTTGAACACAAATCTGATCTGTTGTGGTTCGCCATGACAAATATCCAGTTATTCTGTGGTGGCATAGGGGTAGAAAGGTTTCAAAAAGTGTGGGGGGGGGCAGGCTCAGGGTATACTTAAGGAGCTGTTCCTTGGGGTGCAAACCCAGCGACCGGGGAGGAGGGAAGGATAGAGACTTTGTCCGCCCTTAAACGGAGCGTTCCACATTTATATGGGGTTTGGAATTGAAATAGCCATCTTGAAGATCATTCGGTGCAGTTTTCAGCTCTGCTCTTTCTAAGACTTAAGCCCCTCTACTCTATAAGCTACACGCCAGCACAGATATGCATGCTTTTTCGGCGTCATCCGGACAGCCAAGGTCAGGGTCAAGGTCACCCAGCCAGCTATGACGTGATAATAACGCCACTCAAATCCTGCCATTCCATTAGCAATGCGGCAATCAAGGCCAATAATAATATAATTGTCGCGTTGTTCATATCTGGCGTTCGTTAGCACCATTTCCAGATATGACGGCCGTCAACGGGTTCTCAAACATTATTGTGAAAGGTACGATGACGTAATCAAACAAGGACGTATTATGGAGCATGTTTACTAAACAGAGAAATGTGTTGTCTAGAGCAGTCGTTTCCACTCAAAAGTATGCCATTAGTTATAACAGAGCTTCCATCATATCTGACGCTTGATTTGATATGTCCAGGTTTAGGAAATTCCCTTTAATTCACGCAACTCGTTTTGGAAATAGGTAACTGTTGTGGATGTTATGCTAGATATGCACCTACAGCCTTTTTCCACTGGTATACAGCCTCACCTATTCAACCCATCTATGTCATTCAGCAAATAAGGCCACCCAGCTTCTTAACATGATTTGTCCGTTTCAACATTATTTCCCCAAGGGGGATGCAATTCCACGAGCCACCGGGTGGGCATTTGGGGGTTATCGCATTGGCCAATAGCGCACCATAGTTATCACGTGCCCGGATTACGTTAACTGCTTGTAAATAGACAAGTTTTTTCTCGTAGTGTTTTAGCAAGAATCAATTCCTGAATCCCGAAATACTACCTGGTAAAAACACCTGGCAAAAGACCTTTAACTGGATCTCCTCCTGTGAAAACCGAAGCACGGAAAGAATGCCATTTTTTCGGATATTCTTTGTCTGAGCCCTGCTCCCGTCTGTCGTCGGCGACCGCTGCCCTGAATAAGCTTGTTGCCCGCATGACTGGCTGCTAACTGACCGCATGACTACTATGCTGCATGCTACGGATCAGTATCACTATCTTTCAGTGTGTAATGCAGTAGAGACGCCTGCTACAGCATCCATTTCAAAGTCATCTTCTCTTACACTACACCACAGCAGAAAGTAAACGCTCAGGCAACTGCGTGCCT